TTGTAACACTTGGATCTTATTACAACCTTGATTTGCACAATTTAAAAGTTATGAGGTATATGGGGAAATTTAGCATTGACTGAACATTGAATAACATAAGAAAATATTGTTCATTTGGTATAGGTGTGATAATGGTAGAATAGTTATGCTTTAAGAGTCCTTATTTTTTAAACACTAAAATTTAGAGAAACAAACAAGTTTATGAATGAAATAAACAACAAATGAACAACAAAGTGAAAAAGCAACATAGTGAAAGGGAGACAATATACACAAATCATATACCTAATGAGAGGTTAATATCCAAAATATATAATGAACTCATACAACTCAATAGCAAAAAAAAAAAAAAAAAAAGAATCCAATTAAAAAATGGGCAGAAGATCTGAATAGACATTTTTCCTAAGAAGATATACAAATGGCCAACAAGGACATGAACAGATGCTCTTCACCGTTAATTATCATGGAAACGCAAATCAAAACCACAGTGAGATATCACCTCATACCTGTTAAATGGCTGTTATCAGAAAGACTAGAAATAACAAGTATTGGTGAAGATATTCATTATTAGTAGGACTGTAAACCGGTGCAGCCACTATGGACAACAGTAAGGAGATTCCTCAAAAAATTAAAAATAGAACTACTATATGATCTAGCAATTCCACTTCTGGGTATTTACCCAAAGAAAATAAAGACACTAAGTCAAAAGGATAGATGCACCACCATGTTCACTGCAGCATTACTTATAATAGCCAAGATACGGAAACAACATAAATGTCCATCAATGGATAAAGACATTGTGATACCCACACACAATGGAATATTATTCAGTCATAAAAAAGAATGAAATCTTGACATTTTTGATAAGGATGGATGTCGAGGGCAATATCCTAAATGAAATATAAGTCCCAGAAAGACAAACACTGTGTGATCTTTCTTATATGTGGAATATATATTATATATATAATATATATAATATATATGTAATATATATTCACCAAGACCATAGATATGAAGAACAGACTGGTGGTTGCCAGAGGTTGTATGTGTGGAGGGCCAGCAGGTAGGGGTTGGGAGATAAGGTTAACCATTAAAAAAGAAGAAGAAGAACACATGATACTCCCTTTCCCCCTAAATAAGGGCAGGAAGGGAAAAGCATAAACAGGAAAAACACAAAATAAAAATAGTAAAAATAAATTCATATAATACTGGTAATCACAGGGAATGTAAATATTCATACAATGGAAAACTACATAGAAATAAAAAAAAAAAACCTGACCAGATCTGTACGTATCAACACAAATCTCATGAACAATTGTACTCAGTGTATAAATTCAAAAGGATATACATAGGTTGGGACCACTTTGCAAATTATAAAATGACACAAAACAATGTTATATATTATTTATGGATACAAATACATATAGCAGAATTGAATGGAAAAATATATACCAATTAAAAAAATTAAAAAACAAAAACCAATCAAGTTAAAAAAAAACTTTTCAGTTCATGTAGAGATGCTGCAAGGCAAAGAACATCTGAGACTCTTTTAGCCCTTCAGAAAGACTTTATTCTTCATAGCTTCCAAACTGTGAAGTCACATGTCAGAATGCCTAGTCTAAGATTCTCTGAATTCCCGTAGCTTCTTACCATAGACTAACAAAATACTCCACTGTAATCATTCATTTAAAATATGTCAGATAACACTTCTCAGCTCAAGTCTACTAGTAGTTCCTCATTGTACTCAGGAAAATAGCTGAAGCAGATGGCCTGCACAGCTCTCCCTACTTGATATCTCCTGTAGTAGCCAGCCTCCAAGATGGCCTTGGATAGATCCCCACCTCCTGGTGTTCAAACTCTTGTGCAATCCCTTCTCACTCTTCCAAGTTTGGTCTGTGTGCTCAATAGAATAAAGGAGAAGCAATGGCATAATACTTCTGAGATTAGGTTATAAACACTGGAACCTCTGTCTTGGTTGCTTTCTCCTCCTGGCTTGGATCACTCACTCTAGGAAAAACCAGCTGCTATGTCATGAGCAGCTCCATGCAGAATGCACCTGGCAAGAAACATATTCTACCAACAACCTTGGAAGTAGATCATTAGCTCCAGTCAAGCCCAAAAGAAAGATTTTCTTAAAGAGCCAGATAGTAAATAGTTTAGGTCTTGCAGGTCCTATAGTCCCTATTGCAACTATTCACTTCTGCCATTTTATACAATTTGAAAAATAATGTTCAGGACTGCAGCTCCAATAAAACTTTATTTGCAAAAACAAGCAGTAGTTTGCTAACTTTTGCATGACTGCAGCCAAGGCTCACAGCCTTTCACTTCATGAAATCCTCAATCAGACCCACCCAGCTAAGCTGCTTCTTAGGTTCTTGACCCTCAGAAACCGTAAGTTGACAGTTTTAAGCAGCTACATTTTGGCTTAATGGAACTCATACACCCCATCCTCCACTCCCCACCCACCCTCTGCCAAGCACACACACATACCCCTTTCACCTTTCTAATTTCACCTCCTTCTACTCTCCACCACACATTCAGCTCGGATCACAGAAATCTTATTGTTCCTTGAATATACCAGAGGCACCCCTGCCTCAGGGCCTTTGTTCTGCTAGTCTTTCTGCCTGCCTGGATGCTTCTCCCATAAGTATCTAGTTGGATCCACTAGCTCCTTTAGGTCTTTACGCTGAACCCTTCTTGGTAAAGCCTTTCCTGACCCTATTTACAAGTGCAACACTCCCTCCGCCTTACCTTCCCTATCTCCCTTATTTTTCTCATAATATTTACCATGTACCATACATTTTACTTTACCATCTGTCTTCCTCACTGGAGTATAAGCTTCACAAAGACAAGTGTTTCTACTTGTGATACTGCATTCTGCAGATGGCTTTCAATAAATTGTTAAATAAATAAATTCGCTTGTCTCAACTAACCCGCCAACTCCTTAAAGGTTTAGTGTACACAGGCTTGAACACACATTAATGTTAAATTAACTTTGAAGAATAATTTTAAACATCTGAATAACACAATCAGATCATTTGGAAGGATCACTCTAGGGGATGAATAGAGGCATTTGGTGTCTGCAACACTTAATCCTCACTCTACACTCCCCACAGGCAATTTCACTCCTCCCCACTGTTTATTATCACCTATGCACAGACTAGTGGACATCTTCACTTAGACCCTTCCTCAGAAGGACATCTTGTGGACCTCAACTTCAGCCTGGCCTAAAATGAACTTCCCCCCTACTCCTGCCTTCCCCTATTGTGACCAAACTCAGCATATGCAATCTTCTAGTCAATTATGTCACCCTCAACTCTTCTCCCTACCACCAAGTCCCAGATTTTATCTTCTGAAATCTCTTAAAATCTGTCCACTTTTCCCCATCTCCTCCAACACCCCAATGCTACCTACCATAGCCACAGGATACTGCCATATACCTTCCGGTCTCCTTGCATCTACTATGACCCCTCTGAAAACGATTTTCCACAATGCAGCCGTACATCTTTTTCAAAATGCACATCTCATTGGATCACATTACTGTTCACTTAAAATTCAGTAGCTTCCCATTGCTCTCAAGATTAAAACGTTTTTCTGTCCTGCATGGGCTGGTTTCCACCTTACCTTTCCAAATTTTCCTCATAACCACCACTCTATTCCAAATGTACTCTATACCAACCAGATTCTCAAAGTGCTGAGAACTTTACCTCTGCCCAAAACACCCTTTTCCCTTTTCCCAGTTACTACCATGTCTGTTTTAAGTCAGCTCAAATACTTCGTTACCTTTACTAGATCAAATTGCTTTTAGAAACTCCTCTCCTTTGTTGTACTTGAAACAGTTTGTATAGCATTATTTGGTGTTTCCCTAACCATACTAGGAGTAGGCTGTTTTTACTCCCTTGTATTCACAATGCTCAACAAACAATGACAGGAGGATCTTGGTAACTATTGGTAGAAGATGTGAACTATTCAAACAGGGCCATTAAGGGCTTATTACAGCTAGGAATGAACGAAGGTGTTGCTGCACTAGAGCAGAACATTAATGTTGGGGAGCACCTCAACAAGTCCTTGATGGTCAAGGGAATTGACACTCTTGATGAAATTATTCCCAACACTCCCCAAACCAATTATGTAAATCTGTACATTAGGTTCTAATAGTCATTATTTTATTTCTACTGCTATCAGGGCCTGTGGCCCAAGTATCTGAGGTACTGACACCACTTTCAGGTTAAAAGTAGAAAGAGACACATTACTTGGGACTACTGGAAAACCAAGAAAATTGATACAGCTCCAGTACCTCTCTCCCATTATTCTCTCTCTCTCACAATCTGGATTTTGCCAAACCATTCTATTTGCTCAAAGGCTACTTTATTTAGGGGAAAGGGTCCATCCACTGAGAACTAAGCAACAGATGACGGCCACTTTTAGAATTACCGGCAGGGAGAAGCTTGAGAAAGGAGATGAGATTCCAACTGGCTGAGTTGGACAGACAAGGAACACAGGAGATTTGGTGAGTAAGATATCAAGAGTTCTGATTTGAAGGTTTTGAATTTATAGTACCTACAAGGCATCTGGTTGGAGATGTCTAATAGGCAATTAAACATTGGTTTAGAGCAGTACCATGCTCACCCATAGCTTTTATACTAACTAGGAGTCAGCATCCTCTGAAGCAGAGGGCAGGAGTGACTCAATAAAAGCATATGTGTAAGAACTGTTCTAGGCACTCAGAATTGCAATTTACACACTATAAAAATGTTTAAGTCTGTCAAGAGAATTTTAAATATTTCACTATATAAAGTCATACACAATACAGTGTTTCAGTATTTCCTATACAACACTACATACTTTAACTTGAGGACACCCATAAAAGGATGAATTTCAGAAATTCTGAAAAATTTCTACCAGCTATTGGCTATTTAAATACTGCTTATAAAAACCATCAAAGGAAAGCCCAGAATCATGTAAATGGCATATACTTAAATAAAAGAGGCAGAAACTTAACATACAGAGTACAATGCTTTTTATTTATGAATAAACTAAAAGTCCATTTCTAGATGTTTCTTTCTTTTCCATGCTTCATTTGTTTTATTAACAAGCAAAACCCTTTAAGGGGCAGCTTCATCTAGTCTTCAGACTCAGATCCATCTTCATCTTGACTAATCTGGAAATAACGAAGTTCGTAAGTCTCCTTGTCAGATGCAACCACACGAAGCCAATCACGAAGATTGTTCTTCTTAAGGTATTTCTTGGTAAGATATTTCAAATACCTTTAAAATAAAGACATGAATTTCATTAAGAAATACAATTATCCACTATGCAAAGGCTTATATAGAAGATAATGCAGTTGTATTCATTTATCTTTAATGTTCCCTCCAAAATATTTCATTTGTATCCAACATTGTTCAAGGTTGTTGGGGATCTAAGAATAAGGTGGCCATTCAACCCCAATTACAATAGGTTGATGCCCTAAAAACCCTATTCTCCCATATCCCTAAAATAAACATCCTTTATGCTGAAGCTAAAAAGAGCAATAGTAGTTTCCCCTTCAGTTTTACTGCCATAACCAGATTACCTTTTAATGTACAATTTTATTCCTTAAATGTATTATGTACTAAATTGTTAACATTCCTTTCACTACTATCAACCTCCCTAACCTCAGTTCCATGATCAACAAAAGGAAACCTATCAACAGGGCTGAATCCATTTACAAGTTTATCGACACATTTTCAACTAACATACGGCTCAGTCCTTATATAAAGCTTTGAACATGGTCTAATTTCATCACTCCAGCCACTCTCTTTCATTTACACTTTACATCAATTCTGAACTATCAAGCAGTACTTGAGCTTCCCTGTCCTTTCTTAACGTTGTTCCCTCTGCTAGGAATACTTCATTCCATCTCAGGTTCTCTGCAAATTCTTATGTCCTATCTCTTACCTTCAACACAGCCAATTACAGGATTGCATTTATAATAATTATGTTCATGTCTCTAAGATCCTTGAGAACATTATCTTTCATCCCCAAATCCCTAGTGATGAATTCATAACCACAGCTAACATGCACCGTTCCTTAAGTCCAAAACACCACCGGCTCACCTATTCTCACAACAGGTTCATAGTCTTCAGCTTCCACCACCAGTCTTTTTCAGCCACAATTGGGAATTCCCTAATTTGCCTGTCTCACTCCAGCACTTCATTTAGATGAGATTTTCTTGACCACCTTATCTAAAAATATCAACCCTGAAATCCTTTTTATGCATTTACACAGCACTTATCAACTACTTAATATTTCATCGTCTCTTTCCACTAGAATTTAAGCTCCTTAGTGGTAGGTACTTGCCTACTTGGCTATCCAGTCCTACAAGAGTGCCGTCATATACTTAGTATTTAAGTAAATTAAACGAACTAAAACTGGCAAAACGTTAGACTTTACCTTTGACTGGCTGCCTCTACTAAATAAACCACCAAAACTTTAAAACCACACGTATAAGAAAACATTTATATTACTTCAGGACATTACTTTCATGTTACACATTAGACATGCTTCTTGCAACATGTTCTAATATTAAAACATTTAACATTGTTACCGTTCATATATAATTTGGGTTTCAGAGACTACCATGCACTGGACAGGAGCCCTGTATATAACTTGCCTATATTCCTGCAATAAATTATGCTTACTGACAACCAGCCTAAGCAACTGGCCCAGTTACTGAACATATTTTCCATTCACATAGGCCATTAATACGCTCAAAACACTTGTTTGTATATCCCTGACCTTATCATCAACACATCTACTCCTGCCTATGAAAACACAAGGATTATGTATTCTATAAAATATTCACAATTACCATAATTTCCCTAAAGTATTATGGGAAACAAATACCAACCTTTTAGAGAACTGTTTCTCAGAAACAACTGTGATTTTATTCTTGAAGCGTTCAATGTGAACAACATTCCCCAGATTTCCAGTTTTTCCATTGACTTTAACCTTCTCCCGTAGAAACTGTTCCTATTTTAAAACAGAAAACATGCAAAACTAGGGAAGAAAACCCTAGATATTCACTAGGGAAGGTACCCTAGGAATAGAGCTTAGGTTAAAATCAACTATTACATACTTTAATCATTAAGAACTCTGTTACAATGATAAAAACAAGCTGAGGAGAGTGATACTTACAAAATTTCCCGAATCAAAAATTCCATCTTCTACTGGATGGGTAAGGTCCAAATTAAATTTCCAGGTTGACTTCTTAGGCTTCTTGTCTTTCTGCTACAGATAGTTCACATAATTACAACTATTCACTTTGCTCACTTTATATACAAACTTTAAAATCTGTAGCAGCCCAAAAATGTACAATGTACTGTGATGTTATATGAAATGGTCCAAAATTCTAAAAAATTGCTTCATAGCTATTGGATATACCCTTTTTCTCAGCCAGGCTGTGTGAAAAGGGGTACACTCCTTGGTTTAAACGGAGTTTTTGTAAAATCCAAAGGAATTTTCCCTGCCCACCATGCAAGTGTCTCAAAAGTGCGAAACTCAAGAAAGCTCGAAGCATTCGGCAAGCCACTATTAGTTCCCTTCATCAGTAAATTCCAAAGAATCCTGTATTTACAACCAGAAAAGATTAATACAAGGATCAATCTTACTTTCTATTGTAAATTAAAACTGAAACCCACTGAATGTCTAATGAAGCCCATTCTTTTCCAATCACCAAGTTAAGTTTTATGGGCTTTTAATATTTTCCAGACCACTGACATTCAATTTTAAATTATCAGATACTATTTACTACAGGCCAGGCCCTATGGGACACAGGTAGTACACACTTGCCCAACCTCAATTATGTGCCAGAAGAGGATATTCTATCCACTCAAGTCTAGAGAATTAAATCCTTATGTTGTTAAAGGTGAGAGAGGGGAGGGGGACCTTAGGTCCTGTAAAGGCTTTCAATTTTAAAAAATTACGTAACTTCAGTTTTTCATACCCAACACTCAGACCAACACACATAATCGGGCTATCCAAGTAAAATGCTGCTGTGGCTACTATCAATTACATTCAGACAATATACTGAAGACAGACAAATCAGTATTTATCAGAAGATGCCATCTCCAAATTAGAGCCACCCAAAAGGACACCAAGTACTAATGCCAGTTTGGTTTTAGGTAGCCGAGTAACTTGTACCCCGCCCCCCAAATATCCAAAACTGAGAACTGGTAAATTGTCGCATATACCTACCTTTTCAAATGCTCTTTGGATTGGTTTAAATATCTTACTGATTCCCTTGTTAATTAATTAACAACATAAAATCTTTGGTGCACGCTCCTTTTACATCTGCGAGTCTTGACTTTCATCTTTTAAAAAGTTTCTTCATGAGGTATTAAAGAAACTTCTTCCCCAATTTAGTTCTAAAGTTCTCTGAAACTTTTGTAGCCTCGGAGCTCCCTCCGCTCTGGCAAGGCCATCAGACCGGTCCGATTACCCAATCTCCTTCCTAGAGCAAACGAATAGGCTAGCATTGGCATTATTAGAAGCGAGAGTGAAAAGAAATAGCTCAATGCTGTCCCATTAGTCCGGTTCGTCGTTGTACCTCCTTCCTTGAGCTGCCGGCGCCACTCATCCGAACTCCGGGCCCACCTAGAACTCCACTAGATCGCATGGCAGTCGCCAGGTTGTCTCGAAAAACAACGGAGAACCTTACCATCGTGCTTGTGTTCCTGACCCAGTCTCCACTTCTACCCTCCCTTTATCTCAAATGAGAGATCCCCAACTCGCTAGATGGCAAAAATCATCTACACTGGGGTAACATGCTCCCACCAAAATCCCACCCTCACTCACCGGCGCCATCTTGAAAGGCGGTCGCGCGATCAAAGAGAAAGCGACCGCCGCGCGTCACGTGGTTATACCAAAACGTACTGCGTCACGCGCCGAGAGCGTCCGCTCGCCGCCTCCCGGAAGAGAGCGTGGGGAGGCCCGCAGCCCAGGAAACCCGGGCGTGATCGGCGGAGGATAGGCTTCGGATGCGGTCCGGTTGCCTGAGCGCGCCAGCTAGCTGCCTTAGTAAAGTGATTCAGGGTTTTCCGCCAATGACGACGTTCGTCTGTTGACTACAAAGGTCTCCGCGGTTTCGGGAGGTGGTTCCCAGATAAACACGACCGAGGGATGGAGGAATCATCTTTCACTAGTCGCCTAGATCTTCTTTCCAATCAGGGCAAGGCTCTCAGGTTGCTTTGGGATCTCCTGTCTTACACTGTAATTACGACCCCACGGCGAGGTTACTTCTTTATTTGGGTTTTGTCTATGAGTCTTGTTTTCTGAGTGACCGTTGAGGGAAATAACTGTTTGAGGGAGCCAAAATAAACTAGATTCTCGAGGAAAAACTCTTAAGAAAAAAAAAAGTATTGCTTACTTGTTCACTTGTTGAGTTCACTGTTGCTTCACTTTTATCATGGGTTTTAGTTAACCCTGTGTAGAAATTAAGATGGAGTTACTCCTGTGAAGCAGAACTTAGGTCAAGCAGTGATGTAAGCAGCCAAGGGCATTGCAGCTAAGACCAGATGTCTTGGAAGCCAGCACAGGCTGACCATACCAAAAACTGATAACCAGCAGAACCAGACGAGGTCTACAAAGGTCTAGACTGATTGAATTCCTTTAAAGGGAGGATTTTTGCAGGGAACTGTCAAGACTTTCCAGATGCTGACCCTTTCGTTTCTGACCACATCAAAAAGGCAACTGCCCTGAAGACCCTGCCCAAATGGTTTTGGGACAGAACAGAGATCTTCACTGCTTGAACATATTTAAGTAGCAAGTGCTGAGAGCTTAGACCGAAGGGAGGCCTTATATCAACTGCACACTCACAAAATGACTGCGTTTGGTTCATTTACTTCCTACCCCTTGTTTTATCTTGTTATGTGATTCTCTTGTGCTTTAATATGTGTGATGTGTAAGAAAACAAGTTAAACACTAATGAAATGTCATTGAGTTTGGAATCCTGAACCTGCTTTATAATTATGTTAACCTTGCTTTATGATTGAATAAAGCTGCCATTATGGGAAGACACAACTCATGTGTGCACCTTTATAGTGTGCTCATGACACCCCAGGACTCTTGACTTCCATCCAAAATGCTTCCCAATTAAAATTCAATGAATGGTTGCTGAGACCTAACTACTAAAATGGACAAAGCACACGAGGGTGGATGTGGGGTGGTGACAGTTTAGATGACAAAAGGAAAAAATAGCTTTTGAACTTTGAAGAATTGCAAGTTGACATCAGATCAGAAAAGTGATATGCTTCTCAATGTTTTGCAGTTTTTTATAGGGAGGTGAAACTATCATACTGGGGGCCAGGGGTAGGGATGGGGTGGACTTTTGTTGTTAATTTGGAGACTGACCCTAGAAAGTGACAACTGCATATATCTTTTATGACAGCGGTTAGTAATAGTGGAAGCTATGCTTTAATGAAGCATATAATGTGTAGGGTCTGAATAAAGGTATTGAATTCCTGGGAGAAATCCATTTCAAGAAGATTTTTTTTTTTTTGGTTGTTTACCTCAAGAACCATAATAATTCCACTTATTTTCCGAACGTTAAGGGGAAAAAAGGCAGTTGGCATTTTCTCCTCAAGGGCTGCTCAGGCTGCAGAGCAGAAATGATCCATGCACTATTGGGTATTTTGAAAATAAGCCATTAATTGAGGCACTATTTTATTTCCATTGTTTTTGGCAGACTTCCATGTTATGACGAAAACCAAAAAAAACCCCTAAAGAACTGTTAAGTCATTTGTACAAAGGAGATATTAAAAACATGTGTTTCAAAATAGCTAGTAATCGCAAAATAACTAGATGGAAACTATAGTGGAAAAAAAAAGATTTCTCCCAATTAGGGAGAAAACCCTAAAAAGAATATTAACTAGAAGTGTGCAGATGGTAAGATTAAATATTGTACATAGTGCTTCCCAAATTTTATACATACAGTATGAACACAATGCCTGTCAACCCCCCTCGCCCAGATATTTTAATTTTGACAATGGATTCTAAAACATATGAATTAAATGTCTGAAAAGAGTCAATACAATTTAGAATAAGGAGAAGTTGCCTTTCCAGTTATTCAAATATAAAATACTGTAACATATGAGATATATTTCTAATACAAACTTCAGTCATTTGATCTACATGATTCTGGAGCTTGAATAAGTCAATAAAATAAAATATAGAAGGACAATATGGCAGATTAGGTTCACGGAGAAACCCCTCCATATGTAGCCACCTTGAAAAATGGGCTAAAACACAGGTTTATAATTTCTAATGTATGATTAAGTTGGTGGAAAGTAAAAATTTTTTGGAGGCAGAAATGACAAGGCATGCTCATATAAGTTTGGAACTAGGATGAGCTCAGCTCAAATAGCATGGAAAAGCTTCAATCTAAAAATGTTGTTTAAAGTGTGCTTGGACTGGTAGTGCTAGGCAGAAGCAAATGCAGGTGCTATTTGTAGAAATGCACTTTTGATCCAGGCACAAAGGATTCCCTGTGATAAACTTACAGAAGTATGAACTGACAATTTTTTTAAATCACTAAATACACAGGAAAACAAGCCACTATGAATGAAAATCAACCCTGCCAAAACCTATGAAATCAGACCAATATACATTGGAATTAGACAAAATATAAAATAAGTGTCTTGAACATATTTAAAAGCTAAAAGTATTTAAAATATGTTAAGGGAAACAGGAACAATCAAATTGGCCAGGACTAAAAGAAAATAAGTTATAGAAATTAAAAATAGAAAACCTCAGAAACAGTGGATGAGTTAAACATGAGAGTAGCCACAGCTGCAGAAAAAATTAGTGAATGGGAAATTACTTAGAATGCAACATAGAAAAGCACTACCCATCTCCAGAAAAATAATACTCAAATGACATTATGGCACAAACAGTCCTATGGAAGCAAACTGCACAGCTTTGACAAAGTATGTGTTCAGCCCAACTGTGCAAACAATGAGGCACTGAGAGAAACTCATTACCACTGAAGAATATTGCTTTTAACTCCTCCAACCTTGAATGTTCTTTGTCAAATACTCATAAATGAAAGTTAAGAGCACCAGGTAGGGGAAATAGGAACTGAAATCACTGCTGCTTGTCCTTCCTTTACTAATTTGATTAGAAAGCATTTAAAACTATCATTAAAAATTTATGCTTGCTTCAATGCATCTTTTCTCTCAGTGTGTATTTAGGAAAAACTTTAGTGATAATTTGTTCTTATTATTTCTAACAATAGCAATTTCAGAAGTAAGATTTTCCTGTTAGTGCCACAGGAATTCTGAATAATTGATCAAACTTTAAAATGAGAATAAGTATCTTTTGTAATTGCTTAATTTTTGTCATTTTTTTCTTGTTTTTAGCTTGTCATTCATCTATTGGTGGCCATTTAAATTATTTCTACTTTTACACTATTATAAACAATGCTTTAAGGAACTTCTTTTTTTTATTTTCTTTTTATTTATTTTTATTTTTTATTTTTTAAAGATTTTATTTATTCATTTGACAGAGAGATAGAGAGAAAGCACAAGTAGGCAGAGTGGCAGGCAGAGGGAGAGGGAGAAGCAGGCTCTCCGCTGAGCAGGGAGCCGGACGTGGGACTCGATCCCAGGACCCCGGGATCATGACCTGAGCCGAAGGCAGCCGCTTAACCGACTGAGCCACCCAGGCGCCCCAAGGAACTTCTTAATTAACAAAATTAGTATCTTATGTCAAAAGAAATGCTCATGGAAAGAAATACAGAGAAACAAAAAATGCATAAAAATATCTAAAATCCCACTTGTTTGGAAATAGCTAATGCTTTGTGGGCATGTTTGTGAATGTGTATGTATAAATATAAATCATTCAGATTACACAATTACCTTCATTTATAAAAATTAGATGGTACTATACATGTTTTCTGAATTAAACTTTGAAATAATTACTGTACCTAAAATTATAAAAATTATGAAAATAGTTCAAAGAACACACACATACATATAAATACATGAAATCTGGACAAAAGATATAAAGATACATACATGTATCTATATATCCTTTATTCATATTTTTACCTATTATTAACACTTTGCCCCATTAATTTATCATTTGTTTTTCCTCTCTTTCCCTCCATCTGTATCTACATCTATAAATCTTTGTGGGATGGTTTCTTGATAACCTTTTCATTTCTTTATTAAAATTGTTCTGTTTAGGCTATTTCTACTGAGGTTGATTCTAATAACCACATTTTCCTAAGAAATTATATCAGTTAGGTTTTCAAATTTATTTGAATAAAATGTTTTATTTTTATTTCCTCTGCATTATTAGTCATTCCACCTAGTATTTCTCATTTTTTCTATTTGTGTTTTCTTCCTCCACCTTAAATAAATTGACCAGGGATTTGTTGTTTTGTTAATTTTTCAAAGGACCAGAATTTTATTTTTTAATGTGCTATTTTTCTATTCACCTCACTAATTTCTGCTTTTATCTTTATCATTTCTTCCCTTGTGCTCTCTTTTGGTTTATTTTGCTGTTATTTTTCTAGTTTGATTTAGGACTTTAAGTTCACTTATGTTCATTCTTTCATTTTTATTGATATAGATGTTAAGGCTACATATTTTTTTCTACTGCTTTATATAGATTCTGATATATAGTGTTTTCACTATCATTGTCTTTCAGGAATTGCTTCTGTTTGTAGTTCCCTTTCAACACAGAATTGTGTAACAGGTCCTTAAATTTCCAGGTAGAAGAGTTTTCTTATTTTTCAATTTTGTTTTTAATTTCACTTGGAATTGGTATCAGAGTGTTATTTTAAATATTTCTACCTTATAGAAACTACTGTTTTCTTTGTGCCCTAAATATTCTTTATTATGAAATTTCCATTTGCCTTTGAAAGGAAGGTATATTCCCTAATATCAGGGTGTTAGTGATACGTATGTAATATCTCCAAAAGATTTATCTCATTGATTGCACAGCAATTAAAATGAACTAGAGGACAGCAATTTTTTAAGTGAAACTCATACACATAATTGTGAACAAAGAAGGGCAGACATACTCTCAGTGTTAGGTAGGTGAGCTTTCATTCTGCTAATTAGAATCTGTGCTAGGGATCTGATGGCAACTGAGGTTGCCAAGCTTTTTTGGCCCTCCAAAACACTAGGACACAAGTCACTGTGATGCTGGGACCTGCCCAGGGGTGTGGCCCCCAAATTATTTTGACTGGATCCAGAAATAAATCTCAAATCGGACAATTAATTGATGTAACCTTGTAGGTGATCCTTTTTACCCAAAACACACTCAGTGGTTGCAACTGATCCTGCTGAATGTATCATGGGAATACTAGCATACTTCATCTTGTGCTTTGCTTTATTGCATGTCACAGGTATTGGTTTTTGGGTTTTGT